GGGTTGGGCGCACGCCGCCCCTTCTCTCTCCCCGGCCGAGGCTTTTCCCTTCTTGTGCTGGGGATGAAACCCAGGGCCTCGGGCGCCCCTGCCAGCGCTCATCCTGGCGAACCCCGGCCCCCAAGTCTGATGCAGGCAGGAGTGGGGGACTGCGGGGAGTCCGGCACTCAGTCCCTCCTCCGGCCTCTCTCCAGCCATGGATGGGGTTCCCTTCACGCTGCACCCACGATTCGAGGGCAAGAGCTGTGGCCCCCTGGTGAGTGAGCCCAGGTGGACGGGCCCTGCCCCTGGTCTGGGTTCTGGGGGGCCCCGCGCCGGGCTGGGCAGGTGAGATGGGGGGGTGGCAGCTGGAGGGTCTGCGGGGCCGGATGGGGACCGAGGGAGCCGGGCCTGCCCTAAGTGCCCTGCCCGTCAGGCCTTCTCTGCCTTCGCGGACCTGACCATCAAGTCGCTGGCGGACATCGAGGAAGAGGTGGGTACCAGGCTGCAACCCCCTCCCCCAGGGCGCCTCCCGCCGGGCTGGGCAGGTGAGATGGGGGGGTGGCAGCTGGAGGGTCTGCGGGGCCGGATGGGGACCGAGGGAGCCGGGCCTGCCCTAAGTGCCCTGCCCGTCAGGCCTTCTCTGCCTTCGCGGACCTGACCATCAAGTCGCTGGCGGACATCGAGGAAGAGGTGGGTACCAGGCTGCAACCCCCTCCCCCAGGGCGCCTCCCCCACGGGCCCCGAGGGCAGGGGCGGGCTGGGCCGAAACCAGTGCCTTGGAGTCTTGCTGTGAAGCTCTGCCGGGTGGCGCAGGTGTCCCCGGTAATAAAGAACACTACCGTCCAGGGTGGCGTCCTGCTCCTGGCCCCGGTTCTGGGGCTCTGGGTCCTTGACCCACACTCGGGCCCCAGGGTTGAGGGAGGACTGCCCTCCTGCAGAGGGGAAACTGAGGCCCGGGAGGAGGGAGGGGGGACTGTCCTCACAGAAGATCCTTGGGCCGGTGGCCAAGGGACAGAGCAAGGGTAACATACCAAGAGCTGCAGCGGCTCAGGTCCGTGATCCCAGATACTTGGGAGGCTGAGGCAGGAGGATGGAGAGCTGCGACCAGCCTGGGTCATTGAGCGACTCCCTCTCCCTGGAGAATCAGGCCGGGCGCAGTGGTGCCTCACACCCATTGTCCCAGCACCCAGGCACCGAGACAGCAGGATCTCGAGTTCAAGGCCAGCCTGGTCACACAAGACTGAAAAGAACAGCCCCGTTGACACTGGTGACCACACACGTACGTCCCCAGTGCCGGCCCGTGTCGTGTTTTCCCTCCTTGCCTGCCCCTTCCCTGCCGTGCCATGTAGGAGGCTTGGGCATGGCTTATCCTCCCCTCCCTGTAAAACTGCCGAGTGACCGGTGTGGTGGCCCACTGTCACGCCAGCACTCTGGGTGCCAAGACCAGAGGATCGCAGATTCACACCCAGTGCAGCAAATTTTGTGACTTCTTGTGACTCTCCTGATTTCAAACCTGAAAAAGGCCGGGGATGTAGCTCAGTGCAGACCCCTGGGTTCACTCCCTAACTCTGCAAAAAGAAAAGAAAAGTTACAGCCTGGGGTTTGGCTCAGTGGCAGTGCACCTGCCTTGCAAGTTCAAGGTCCTGAGTTCGATCCCCAGTACCAGAAAAAAAGTTGCTATGGAAACTTGGTCGGGGGCCACTGGACCGGGTCCTAGTGGCACACGGGGTTAGCAGGCTCCTACCAACCTCTGCTCGCAGGCTTGTCAGCCCATCCTAACCTTTTTACCTGCGTCTGTGTGAAGATACCTTCAGTGCATTGGGGCGTCCTCTCCGTGGATGAAGCTCTCCAACCAGGTTTCCTCTCTGGGGAAAGGAACCCAGGGCCTTTGCACTGAGCTGTACCCCCAGAGCTTTTTAATTCTGAGACAGGACTTGCTGAGTTGCCCAGGCTAGGCTTGAACTTGGAATCCTCCTGCCTCTCCCGCCCTTAGCTCCCAGCCAAGGAGGCTTCTTCCTAAAGGGCTATGCTGAGTGAGGTGGGTGGAGCGGGTCCAGCAGAGAGCGGCTGGCAGGGCGCGGCTCTGGCGGTCCTGGCCAAGCTGGCGCGCCCGTTTCTGTGCCATCTCCTTCAGTCTGCCAGGTCTGCATTGGCGCCAGCCACAGATTCTGATCCGGCTGCCGAGCAAAGGCCTTTTGTCCTCTCCGTCACCTCCTGGCCGCCTGAAACCTGCTCCAGATCACTTTTTGGTGCATCTGTGTGGCCAGGCCCACAGACAGGTGTCCTTTCCAGCCCGAGTCTGACGGCCGAGCTGGCCCCGTGGGGTGCTGCGCTTACTCTGCAGCCGCGCCTCAGCGGGGCAGGGACCTTTCTGTATAGGGAGTCAGCATTGAAGGCCAGGTGCAACCCTGAGCAATGCCTCTGCCCCAGTTTCCCCATCTTTTGTTGTGAGACTGGGTCTGGCGACCCTCCTGCCTCAGCCTCCCGAGTGCTGAGATGACAGGCACACCTGGCAGGTCCCCCTCTTCCCTACGGGGCTCTGTACTGTCCTTGGCACTGTCCAGCGCAGCCTGTTCCCGTCCCACCCCGTAGGTTACCACCCTACAATCCTATGATCCTGTGAGGATCCTGTTGCCCGTTAGGGCTGAGTCCTCCTTCCCCTTGCCCCGTTGCGACCTGAGTGCTTGGCAGGGGCAGGAGACTGGCGCTGCCTGCCTGGGTGGGGCTGTGCGGTCTGGGGTTCAGCTTCCAGGTGTCCCAAACACGCAGGGCAGCTGGCATTTAAGGAGGCACTGGCTTCCCGCCCTGGTCAGCGCAGCCTGTGGGAGTGGACTTCTGAGCCTCCTTAAAGGTCTGTGGAATTCGGGTGGAATGGGGCCCTGGCTCTGCACTGCCTCACACCAGGTGAGGGGCGTCACTGCCCACCCTGCCGCCCTCCCTCCCTTCTCTGACTGGGGTGGAACTGAGCTCATCTGCAGCCCTGTGTGTGCTTTGAGACAGGGCCTCCCGAAGTTGCCCAGGCTGGGCGGAACTTGTGGATCCTCCTGCCTCAGCCTCCCAAGTGCTGGGATCAGGCGTGGCCACCTGTCGGCTTCCCTCCTCCAAGAGCCCCCAGCCCCTGCCACGTCCTGACCGAGTGTCCTCCCTCTCTCTCCTGGTCCGTGCAGAGGGTTGTCCTGGGGACTCCTAGACCGGCACAGCGCCTGCAATCCTGGCCACATGCTAAGGAGATGCATTATTTCTAACCGCATTCCCAACTTCTCAGGAGTCTGAGGCAGGAGGCCTGGGCTCCGGAGCCCCCTGGGTCCCCGCCTGCTGCCATCCTATTGCCATGGACACGCCGACCGCCCCACCCTGCCTGGGGTCTAGCGAGTGGGGCACAGTCTCTAGTGGCGCAGGCAGACAGTGGGTGGCAGGGTTTATTTGTAGGTTTGCGAGGTGGGGTGGGGCCAGGGCATGCTGCAGCCCCACCCAGCAGCCTGGGCTCCATTTTACAAGCAAGGAAACTGAGGCACATGGGCTGCCAGCCAGGAGCCTGGGCCCTGCCTTCTCACCTCCCCTGGCCTGAGGCCCACACATGTGAGCTTCAGCGCCCGAGGCCTTGGGGTCACAGTCTGAGCTTTGTACCGGCCATCAGCGTCGCGGGGCTCACAGGACCCGGGTGATACTCAGAGGTGAGTGCTCTGGTGAGTCACTGCCTCTCTTGGGGCCTTGGTTTCCTCATCTGTAAGATGGAGGGAGAAACTTAAATCACTACCTAATCCCTATCCTCCCTTTTTCCTATTACAGAACCTTACTCATTCTGGATGGCTATATTTCCCAGCCTCCCTTGCACTGAGGTCTAATGAGAAGGGAAAGGCTGGAGCCCTGGCAGCCATTTTGCACCATGAGGCAATGTTATAAACCCCAGGGATGCTGTGAGTTTTGGGCTGTATCAGGTTCTACTGCTACTGCAGGGGATCTGGACCAGTCTCTAGGCAGCTGCTTCTCACCGGTCCCCAGGCTCACACCAGTGTGGAGTCCTTTCCTGTGTCCCCCGGCCCATGCCCCAGCATGCTGTTCATCTCATGTGCAACCCCGTGCCAGTGGCCCACATCAGCCGACAGTGTGCAGGACATGTGGGGTGCGGATAGGCTGCTGTCCCGGCAGCCCCCAAGGGTGGCAGGGGTGGTGGCTGTGGCTGTGGGCCCCAGGGGGTCCCCAGGCTCTGGGCAGGATGAATAGGGGGCCCGTGGGTGGGTACCCTGCTGGGGCTGTGTGCTGGGGCCCGCCTTGGAGACGCCAGCAGGGCGGCTGGACTCATCCTCAAAGCTGGGCGGGGCTGGGTTGTGGAGGCCACGGCGGGCAGCCTGGAGCAGGGTGTGGGGCAGTACGGCC